TGGCACTGAACTCCGTTTCCATGCTATCAGCCAGAAATGCCCCATTCTGAAAGAAATGTCTACAGCTATGTGGTAAGTATAGCGTGTAGTTTTCTGTTTCTTATCCGCAGTGGTAATCATTTACCAACGTCGAAGGCGAGTGAATCGATCGCATCTTGAGCTAATGATCTTTCAACTGTGAACCACACCTTCTACCAACTGTGCAATGGCTGTCCAACGGATCCAAACCGGCCTCCTGTGATCAGGAAGGCTCATTTTCAAGACTGTCCATGTACCTACTCTCATCAAAGGTCAAGAATGCCGGAAATTAGCGAAGCAAACGCGATAATGAACACAAAAGCAGAAATGGTTTCTTTGGAGGACCGCTGATGCGAGCCGTGCCACAGTATGAAATACAGAATTACCCAAGTATGGTATGGCAATCCCAGATACTTTCGCTTGTAAATCGCCCTTTCTTCAGATCGAAAAATCACAACTGCGATGGTTTGAAAGTGATCAGAATTCCACGGAATATACTCACAAGGCTGACTCAAGAGAACAACATGGAATTTGGCCAAGGAACAGGGGGTGGCAAAGGACATGTAACCCGATTGCAATGAGCAGCTGGCTTTCTTACGCCTTAATGTGTAGGTCGCGACGATTGTCCGCTTGGCGGAGGAACGAAAACACTGAACAGGCTGACAATGAAAATGAATGAACGAATTAACGAGTGAATGAACTAGTAACAGGATAACATATACGTTAAAATAATAAGACTATTAATATTTTATCACAAGAAATTTACACGACGCGTAAGGTATGCACATGCCTTACCATTTTCGTTCCATCCGGATATAGTCGCCAGTTTCGAGTCAGAGGCAAATACAGGAAATACTTGGGACATGAAGTAAAGAAAGTCTGGTGACAACAAGGTGCCTTCTTCGAGCACAATAACGTAACTCTATAAGCGAAAAACGTGATTTAAGATTGTCCTTGGTAAATCAAAGCAAAGCCGCTTTGGTGAGTACAGTCTATGAATCAGCTGAGGTTTCAATAAATATAGGTACACCTTCTACCTAAAAAAAGTGAAGGGACAATTTCTGGACATCGTTACTGCAGCTTCATCGGATAGAAGTTACACTAACATTATTAAATACAACACATAATGGGCTTTTTAAACTATCCATCAGGTATCTAGAAACAAAGGAGCTGTTCAATGTAATTATGCGTATTAATTCTGAGAACAGTGGCTCGAAGGAAAGTCGTCCTACATTTCATTTCAAAGGTGCAGAACTGAGAGTAAGCGATGCGCAAAATCTTCTCGGTAATTGCTAATTCCTTGTAGCGAAGAATTCACTTCACCATGCTTTGGGCAACCAACCAAGAAACGGATACTATGCTATTGAGGTGCGAACAATCAGGACAGACTGGTGTCTTGATGTGACCATGAATATGCTGGCGAGAACCTATGTTCATGCTGTTTGATGCGTTCACGGCTGCATTACTTTCCTTCACCAACCTGACGGCTGACTAATGCTGAACGCTCTGTATCCCGTAAATAAAATGAAAATGTAATATATCAAAATTAATTAGAACTTATATCTTTAGGTCATTCTAGGTTTTGCTAATGAATATCATTGTTCTGTATGAAATGATGATGGATCAAGGCAAATTTCAGTCGTAAGGCATCAGAATTAGACAGGATGACACTGTGGCTCATACATTCCGACAACGCAAGAGCACACTATTATATTTGCTCATTGTGCATAGGTCAAATGATCTGCTTCTCATCGCTCAGCCGACTGCGCCGAAGCACAGTGGGAAGAACTCCTTGCTCGAGGAAATGAACTGTTAATAAAACAATATTTACGCCACACATTGGATCTAAACCTTGCGCCTCAAAAGTGCAAAATACCTGGTGGTACCCACTGGCACCTCGAAGGGATCACTTTTTGGATTATTAGATATTTCACTGCAAGTTTATGTCCTGATCACAGATTACACGAATCTTCAGTTTCTTGATTCACGCTTTTCACTCTTGGAACCCAATGAACAACAATCCTCCTCTTTACAGAAAAAATAACTCAGATCTATTAAATAAAACGTGCTCTTCATTTGCTTTTGATGTCAATGCTATTCAACTTCAAGCTCAAGTTTAGCTTATAGTTTAAAGTCTGATTACACATATTCTTTCGTACTCAATGCGAATTTCACGCATTGCCTGTAGAATGAGAGACCCGTCTACTCGTCATGGAAACTCACATCACACGGAATCATGACTTGCCTAAATGGTCATTTACACTCCAGCGACAAAACGGAGTGTCGTAACGCGACTTGGTTTAACAGAATTATACTTATTAATAAGAACGAACTGCTTATGATGTGCAACAGATATCAGTAAATAAAACAGCACATACCGCGTTTGGAAACTTCGACCACACAGCTTCAAAAGAACCGGCTAAAAAGTCTAGAACACATCGTCCATGAAACATGGGTAATCATACTGCACGAAAAGTAAAAACCTGATTTGCTTCCGCTTTTTTCGACACCGACGGATGTAAAATTGTACAAGGCACTCAAATCCACAATTTCAGGGTAGCTTGGGTCATATGCAACCTAAACAAAACGAATTACCATCCTAAGTTAAGCAGAGAAGTAGAATGCTAGAGCACTTCACGTCGATTCATACAGTGCAGTATATCAGCGTCTGTTGGAAACGACTCTGCTTAACGTTACGTTTTTCGTGCTCATAACGTCTAAGTTAAGCAAATGACATTAATCTTAGTCCCTTGCCGACCGTAACGAGCACTCAATCTTCTGGATCAACTCTTCATTTTCTCCAGCAGCACAGCCGTGCTGGAATCTTTCTTGCAGATAACGAAGTGACCATCAATTTTATATCTAACTAACGAAGGGCCAGTGTCGATATGACGTTGATATAGAAATCAATTGCGAATTAATTTCCTACTTCAGCAGGTTCGAGAAACCCAGAAGAGTTTAAAACTTACCACGAATTACATCACTAAGCGATGAGGAAAAGCCATGAATGAGTACAAGTGGTGCGTGCACCAGATCGATGCTACATTAATATTGTCTGTGATGTATACAGCTGATTATCAACATTCACTCACGCAGCTTCAACTACGGATATCATCAATACGGTGACAAACGGGTTGCCTGCCAAAGGAACAGTTTCAGCACTAGGCTTGGCGTTTAAAAAACACCCTAGCTTTAAAGATGCGACCGTCAAACAACAGCATAAAATCGTTCGGTTCTTCTGAAAGTCGGTGTATGAATGATTAAATTATGAAAAATAGGTTTTTAGCAAGTATTTTATCGAGGAAAGCCATTCGAAAACTTTTGAACAAAACAACCTACCAGTATGTTCGACAGCGTCAAGCCCGGCTGCATCATTAACGATTCGAAGCACATCTGCAAAGACTTGTGATCAAGGCCTAAAACAAACGCAATCGAGTCAGAAACGATAATGAAATTAAAATCACTGAATACACTGGTAAATCGCCATGTACAGGGACTACGAAGTGTGTTTGCTTATATGTATTAGCATACATGTGTATATGCTGATCCCATGCATACGTATGTGGTAAATCTTAGCGCACGCGTGAGAGAACCTGCGTCTGTAAAAGCGCAAAGTGTACACACCGCTACAACAGAATAAAAGGAGCGAGCCTTCAAAAGCATGCATTATCAGATTTGCGACGCTAGGCAAAGGGCTGTAAATAATGTGCCTTGTAGTCTTTCAACAGAAAGAATCGAACCTCATCATCTTCATCTTCATCTTCATCTTCCATCGCCGCTTCTCCTTTTGGGTCGCGGAGGCAGACGCGTCAGAC